ACACACACACACACACACACACACACACACACACACCCCTGATCCCCTGAACAGCAGACTTGCATTAGAATCTCAAGGAAATCTAATTAACGTATCAGGGATGACAGCTGCCAAAAGTTGAGTCTTGCCAATGTTAGGACGATTTTTGGAATGAAAAGCTATAGGTGGACCCTGGTTTCAAGAAGAGCCGACATTGTTCTGTGCAGATCATTTCTGTAAATTTTCATAAAAGATTTTTATAATTTATTTTAAATTATGGAAGTCTGATTTACATTCAGCAAGGTGCACCAAGGTGAACGGTTCACCGAGTTTCCACAAGCGGAACACATCCGTTTAACCCTCCCCGAGATGGAGAAACCCCCACACAAATGTGGTCAGCACCCAGAAGCCCCCCTGCTCCCTTCCAGGCAGTGCCTGACCCCCAGCCCAAGCCAGCACCACCCCGACATCTAGCAGTGCAGATGGTGTCGCTGGCTTCTGCCCTCTGTGGTCTGGAGGGTGAGGGGAGGCTGTGCACACGGTGTGTCATCTTTGTGTCCGGCTTCCCTGGCTGACACTGTGCCTGTGGGGGCTTCCCTGTTGCTGCAGATCGTTGATTCTCATGGCTGCGTCATATTGATTGCAACTGTTTTTAATGAAGGAGGCTAGATAATCGCTGTGCCCCAGTCTTCTCAGGGAGAGCATAGATTCTGTGGAAAGTTAATTTTTCAGACAAGTGGTGAGGACACCAATTTCCGGACGGCCAAGCGTATGTTGATTGCTGGAGAGGCCCAGGCTTCCGCCTCCCTCCAGAGCCTGAACCAGGGAGGGGTGAAAGGGAGTGTCACGTAATCCAGTCCCAGTAACTTAAATGTCCTAAAATAGAGACCCGCAGGACCAAGGCTAAGAACTTATAGGCTCTGTGGTCAGCCTGTCTGGGTGGCACCATCATCCCCTGTATGCCTCAGCTGTGTGACCCTGGGCTAGTTGCATACCTTCTCTGAGCCCAGCCTCCTCCTCAGTAAAATGCAGAGAATAATGGTACCTGCCTTTTGGGCAGTTGTGAGGATGCAATGAGATGACCTGCCTGAGTGGTTGGCTCAGGGCCTGGCGATGGGCACTGGACAAGAGGTGGCTGCTGTTACGGTGACTGGGCTGTGTTTCTCAGTTGACCTGTGGCATTCAAGAGCCTCAACAGCGAGAGACTTAGGAATTGTCCTTAAATTTCAGAGTAAGAACAGGTCATGAAGAGTGAGAGCTGCCTAAAGTCCAGCTAGCTGTCTCTGGGTTTCTCTGTCAGTGGATTCTTTTAGCCCCCAAGAACATCTATGGGGAAAAGGTGACCAATGAACTAGAATTGGTCATCCCAAGTTCCCTGGGAGTTGCAGTGCCATGAATTTTTAGGGACACTTGGAGACCCCTGCAGGAGGGAAGACCAGGACACAGAGCCTGCCGAGAATGCCTGACCTCGGTCCTCTGAGCTGCTGGAGGCCCTGTCCTTGTGCCAGCTGACCTGATGGGCATCCTCTTTAAAGCAAGTGCCTGACTTAGTCCTTGTCAAGTAAATGAAAGCCCTGACCACCGGCTTGAGCAGGCCCCAGAGCCCGTTGCAATGGTCACTTTGTAGCCTAGGAAAGGGCAGCCTTTTTTCTTTATTTTGTGACGGTTGTTGGACAGGGATGCCAGTGAAAAGGCCACTGCGAATTTTCGTAAGAACCAGGTCCCTCGGTCAGTCACCTCCCACTTCCCCAGTGGATATGAACCATGTCTGTCAAAGCAAGAGGGTTCAGGACGATGGCCCACAGGCTGACAGAAATGTGTGGTTTGCCCTGAACTGTTTTTAAATTGTTTTCATGTTGAGACAACTGGGTAACCATCTGGAAAAGATAAAGTGAGCTCCATACCTCACTCTGAACGCCAGGAAACGTTCCAAAATTCCAAACGGATTAAGGAGGAGTTAAATGTATAAAATGAATTTATAAGGGGGCAGAAACATTAGAGAATCATACAAAATCCAGAAGCCATAAAAGATAGGTAAAATTGATTATATAAAAACATTTAAATCCTCTGCATGGCAAAAACAAACAAAACTCAACCAAAAAAACAAAACAAAAACACCACCAAACAAAACAACATCCTAAGCAAATTCAAAAGGCAAATGACCAAAAAGACAAATGACAAACAGGAAAATGTATATTTGCAGCTTGTATCACAAAGGGATAATCTCCCTAATGTAGAAACAGCTCCTATGGAGAAATATGAGACAAAAAATTAGAAAAATGAGCAAAGGATATGAACAGGCATTTCACAGAAAAGAAAATGCAAAAGGCTTTTCAACATTTGAAAAAGACTCAACCACAATCTATACCAGTAAGTATGAAACAAGATTGAAATTACTCAGCTTTCACTCTTAGCAAGCTGGCAAAAATGAAATGTTTTGATGGCACCATGGATGAAATTTTGAATAAAACGTGCATTCTCATACATTGGTGGGGAGCCATTGTCATGGAGTACCTATCAATGTTAGAAATGTATTTTCTAACGTTTGTCGGAAAAGTCATGATGCATTTTTGCAACGAAAAACATAGAAAAAATACATCATGACTTTTCCAACAACCCAATATATACCCTTGAACCTAATAATACCACCCTTAGGGATCAAATCTCCCAACATACACACACGAGAGAAATGGTAAATGCAAAAGGTTATTCATCGTGCTCTGATCAGAATAAGAAAAGATTGGTGAGAACGCACATGTCCATCAATATGGGACAGTTACATTTGCCATAAGTTCCAGTATGAAAAAAAAAAAAAAAGGACAGTTACAGTAGTCCATACATACATGGTTGGGTGGAATCTCATGAACTTGTAAAAATGGATCAGGAGCCATTTATGAATTGGTGTGGACATATCACCAAGATGTGAAAAACCAAAGTGCATAAAAATGTACATGGTATTCCATCTGTGTGAGCAAGTGAGCAAGTGAGCAAGGTAGGCATTATAATTCTCTGGAAGGATGAACAGAAACTTGAGAACAGTGAATATCTGTTTTGGGTGGGATGTGGGCTTTTCACTTTTTACTTTTGCATGCTTTTTGATATCTTGGTGTTGGCCTATTCAAAAATCCAATCGAAATCAGTTGCCAGCAATTAAAAATTAGGACAGTCAAGATAAAGAATGGATTCCCAGTTTCTCTTCAAACACGGGAATACCTGGCCATACTGGGCTCATGTTCTTCCCTGGCAACCATGAGCTAAAGCTGAGTCGCTGTAGAGGGGCCGTGCTCTCCAGGTTTCTCTTGTAGCCAACTTATTTCACTAATTTATTTTACCTGCGTAGTCTGTGTGGGCATCTGCATTTGAGACCCTTGAAACTTACTCCCAGGATATGTGAAGAAATGCAGCTGGGTGGAGGATGGCAGTTCAAGCAGTGACGAGCAAGTATCTCTGTGCCCCAACCCCAAATTCCCCAGGTGGGGTGTCCCTATAGAAGTGTGTGCTTTCCATAGCTCTCCTTTTGGGGGTGACTGATACCACATTAGACAAAGACATCATAAGAAAACTACAGACCAATATCCCTCATGAATATAGGTGCAAAAGTCCTCAACAAAATATTAGACTGAGTCCAGCAGCATACAGAAACGATTATACACCACAACCCAGTGGGACCTCTCTTATGAATGCAAGGTTGGTTTAACATCTGAAAGTCAACCAATGTAACACATGATTAAGAAAGGTAAAAAACCATGTGATCCCCTCCAAAGATGCAGAAAAAGCATTGGACAAAATCCAACATCATGATAAAAGCTCTTCTTGGGGTGGAGAGGGGCGTTCTCAGAGAGGAGGGTTGGAGGCTGGGCAGACACACCCACAGGTGTCTACTTACCGGCTTACCTACTCTCTGGAGATGATCTGTTGACCCAGGCAGCTGGAGGCATCAGGGCATTTTCCTCCCCATATTAAAGCAAAACCACACTTTGTCTTACGGTCAAGAGCACAACCATCTTTGAGTTTGGAAGGATTCAGAGGAATTCTGGCTCTGAGCAGCTGTCACAGAATTTCCTCTGTGAGTCCTATGGGCTCGCTGTCGATTCAAAAGCATTAAAGTTCTTATCAGTAATTATTGGCTGGATGCATTTCAGGCTTGTAAGCCACTGGGGAGGGCTAGTGGGGTTGGAGGCGTGCCTCTGTCTCCTTTACCGGGACTTGTGGTGAGTATGGCTTCACTGGCTACACATGATGTGAGTTTGAGGCAGCAGTTAAGGAGAGGACTGCAGCAGACAGATGCATTTGGTCAGGATAAACACATGGTTCCCCTGAAGAACCAAACCATCCCAGCCTGAGTGCTGGAGGCCGGCCCCTTTACCCGGAAGGACTTCCTCATTGCGTCTTCCAAGGAGCCACTCCATTCAATGTAACAGGAGCATTTCATCAGCACCACTGTTCTGGGAGAGCCGAGCCCGAGGCGGAGGAGAGGGAGACCTGGC